TCATATCATCTGCAAACAGGGACAGTTTAACTTCTTCACTACCAATTTGGATGCCCTTTATTTCTTTTTCTTGCCTTATTGCTCTAGCTAGAACTTCCAGCACAATGTTAAATAGGAGTGGTGATAAAGGGCATGAAGGATACTATCTTTTAATCCAACATTTTTGTATGGCTTTTGATTTTTTTCATGTTTTTGACATACACATACTTTTATATAAAACTATTAATCTTGTAATATCTTCCACAGCTTTTATGTTTAGAAATCTTAGTCAGATAATTATTTACTTATGTTTTCTTCTGATTATTTTATTGCTTGATTTCTATGTATTTTTAAATATTAAACTCATTACTCTGTCTGGGATTTATTTTAGTATATGGTGTGAGTTGAGGAGATAACTCAATCCTTCTCCCAAAGGTGGCTGACCCTGCAACAATCTATTTCTTTTCCCCTTGATTTTTTTTTTAATGTCACCTTTCATATATTTTGATATTTATGTGTATTAAAGGGAGACTGGGTGGTGCAAGCAGTTTGCAGTCAGCTGCTAACGCAAAGTTTGATGGTCTGACCCACGCAGCGGCTCTTTGGAAAAGGCCTGGCGGATTGCTTTCATGAAGATTACAGCCAAGAAAACCCTATGGAGCAGTTCTACTCTGTAACACATGGGGTCTCTGTAATGCACGGGGTCTCTGTAACACGTGGGGTCTCCGTGAGTTGGGTGCTGACTCCATAGCAGCTAACGACAACAATAACAACGTGTATTAAAGCTATTCTCAGAAAACCCTGTTTCATGTTCTGCCTGTCCACCCTTGTACCACCCACACACTATTTTACTAAGTGTTGTTTGGTGATGTTGTTTAGCATCTTGTAAGATGAGACTACTAAATTTACTACTGATTTCCGAAACGCACTGGCCATAATTACCTGTCTATTCTTCCAGTTGAACTTAGGTATCGTTTTACCAAATTTAAAACAGAGTCCATTGGGTTTTGGATCAAAATTGTGTTACAAACTTACAAGTTAACTTGGGGAAGAAGTGATATCCTTTCAGTAGTTAATCTATCCGTTCAAGATTATGCTATGCTTTCTCAATTATTCAAAGTTTTTTGTCCCTCTATAAGTATTTATGTAATGCCTGCACATTTCTTATTAAGTTTAGTTCTATGTATTCTGTATATTTTATAGTTACCATAAGCAAGATCTTTTTCTTTGTATTTTTATTTGTTGCTGGTAAATAGAATGTTATTGATTTTTGTATTTTTATTTTGCATTTGGCTACTGTACTGAAATTTCTTAGTAGTTCTAATAGCTTTATAATTGATTCTCCTGGGTTTTCTAAGTATATCAACATGTCATCTGCAAACCATAGTTTTGCTTCCTCTTTTCTCATTTCTTTTTCTTGTGTCGAATGGTTTAGCTTCCTCCAATAAAGTGGTAAGTCCCAGTGGTGATCATGGCGTCTCTGTCTTGTTCGTGATCATAATCAGATTTTTCACTATAAGTATAATGTTGGCTCTTGTTCTAAAATGGATGTTTTATCATGGTAAAGAAATACTCATTTTCCTAGTCCAAATGTTTATTATAATCAGGGTTACATGTCTAATTTTATTAAATGCCCTTTTAGCATTTATTCAGAAGACCTCAAATTTTTTTTCCTTTAATGGAATACTTTGTGTTGAGAGATTTCTTAATATTATTAGAGATTAACTATCCTATGTCAGTTAAAACAGCTTCAAAAAAATTAGTGTTGAATCATTTTATCAGCATAGTGCTTAAGAAAGTGGATCAGACTGCTTATGTTTGAATTCCCTCTGAGTAATAGTGTGACTTCGACCCAGTTCCTTAATTTCTCTTTGCCTTAGTTCTTCATCTGTAAAATGCGATGATATTAATACTCTCCACCTTATAGGGCTGTTGTGAGGATTAAACAAGTCAACATATGTGAAGCTCTTAAGAGTGTCTAGCTAAACATTCAGTAAATACAAAGGACAGTTGAATTATTGAGAACCTACCATGGGCCTGGTAGTGAGTTCAGGGAATGGATTCAAAGATGGGCAAACTCGCATATGGTCTCTACTCTTAAGGAGTTTGCAGCCTGGTGAGAAGACAGATAATCCTGAATTCTACAGAAGCATGGAAATTTGTTTCTGTGATAAGCACTACCAAGGAGGGGTTACGGTGTCATGAAAACATATATTAGGGAGTTTGGCCTAGCCAGGAGGGACTCTTGATTGAGATCTGAAAGATGAGTATGCCAAGAAGGGAGGGGAGAGTGTACTAGGTAAGAGAATAGCCTATGCAAAGGTCCTGTGGCTGTGGATTAAGAGAGTATGGCAGATACAAAAGACTGAGAAGGGCAGGGTTTGGCTAGAGAGCTGGTGGACACAAGGCTGAGAGATCACTAAGGGCCAGACCATATAGAGACCCTCATAGACCTTAAGTAGTTTTTCCTTACTGAAGAGCAGTGAGGAGTCATTGGTAAGGTTTGGGACAGATAGGGGTGGTAGTGAGATGACCTGATCAGATTTCTGTTTTAAAATCTCCCCTTGGCTGCAGTGTGAAGACTGGGTTGGCCAGGGCCATAGTGAGTGCAATTGACCTGTTAGGAGGCTATTATGGTTCCCAGGGAAGAAATTGGTAGGGGTGGGGGATTGAGACAGAGACAAGGGTAATGATTGGCCATGGGATTGTGAGGGAGAGGGCGGTGTCAGGGACAGCTTCTAGGTGGGCCTACTTTAGCTGAAGAGATGGAGGTGCCATTCCATTCACCGAGAGAAAAGCAAACGAAGAGGACGGAGTGGCTAGGGGAACATCATGAGCCCGAGGTCCATTGGGAACATTGGTCTGGAGCTCAGAGGGGAGGTCTGAATTTGAAGTTGAGAGTCATCAGGGCACAAGTGGGGAGGTCGACTAGACTAAGAGAGGAGGAGAAGCCCCATCACTGAGCCTGAGAAGACCAAGAAAGCAGCCAGATAGGATGAAGGAAAGGGGAGTGCAGTGGTAGGAGGAAGTCGAGGACCTTGCTGCTCAAAGTGTGGCCACGACCAGCAGCTCACATCACCAGGAAGTGAGTTAGAAATGCAGACTCTCATGTCCTACCCAGATGCGGTCAATCAGAATCTGCATTTGGGTATGTGCACACATAGTGAAGGCTGAGGTGTTCTGGCCCTGAGGAGCGTTTCCAGGAAGAGAGCGTGAGCAGCAGTATTAGAGGCAGCTGAGAGGTTGGTTCAGGTGAAGACCGAAAGATGAGTATGCTGAATATCCACCAGACCCATCAGTGACCTTAGCAGAACTGTTTGGATGGAGTGATAGAACCAGAAGGCAGAACCGGCGGAGTTGAAGAGTGAGTGGGAAGAAAGGAAATCGGAGCCAGAAAGTATAGACAGATTGTGTTTTCTAGAAATTTGGTGTGAAGGGAAGGAGAGAGAGAAGGCTGTAGATGGAGGGAAATGAGGAATGAGTGGGAAATTCCTTTCTTAATGATAGAGTATTGAACATATTTAAAAGTCAATGGGAAGGTTACGTTGGAGAGGAAAGATAGGACATATTTGAGTGAGAAACAGTGTAGTATAAGGTGCTTGAAGAGTAGGAAAGAATGGGACCCCAAAGGCACACAGTAGTTTCCTGTGACTGCGGTAACAAAATACCACTAACTGGGTGGCTTGAAACAACAGAAATGTATTGTCTCTCACAGTTCTGGACAATAGAAGTTCAGAATCAAGCTGTTGGCAGGACCATGTTCTCTCTGAAGGCTGTAGGGGAAGATCCTTCCTTGCCTCTTCGTAGCTTCGTGGTTTATAGAGCATCTACTCCAATCTCTGCCTCTGTCTTCATCTTTCCTCTGCATGCCTCTCAGTGTCTCTTCTCTTTTAATAAGGACAGCAGTTATGTTGGATTAGGGCCCAGCCAACTCCAGTAAGGAAACCTGGTGGCACAATGTGGTTAAGTGCTTGGCTGCTAACTAGAAGGCTGGCGGTTCGAACCCACTAGCCACTCCATTGTGGGAGAAAGATGTGGCAGTCTACTTCTGTAAAGATTTCCAGCCTTGGAAACCCTATGGGGCAGTTCTGCTGTGTCCTGTAAGGTCTATAGGGTTGCTATGATTTAGAATTGACTCGACGGCAGTGGGTTTGGTTTCAGTTTTTCTACTCCATTATGGCCTCTTGTTAACTAATAACACTTTTGGGCCCTGGTGGCACAGTGGTTAAGAGCTCAGCTGCTAACCAAAAGGTCGGCAATTCGAATCCACCAGCTGCTCCTTGGAAACCCTGTGGGGCAGTTCTACCTGTCCTACAGGGTCACTATGTGTCAGAATCAACTCGACAACAACAGGTTAATAACATCTTCAGAGGCCTATTTCCAAACAAGATCACGTTCATAGGTACTGCGATTTAGGGCTTCAGCATAACTTTTTGGGGACACAATTCAACCTATGGCCGCACAACAGGGCACGTGGAAGGATTAAGTTTAGACAAAGGAGGGGAGGTTCCTCTGTAGGAAGGAATGAGGACAGTGTGGTGCAGAGTAGAAGGGTTTGGAACTGGGAAGACGAGAATCCCCATTAGAAGGCTTGTATTTTCTATGGCAAGTAGGAGCAGAGGACATTAGCTGAGAGTAGGTCCTGGAGAGTCAGGAGGCTGCAGACAGTGGAGCAGTCATTCTGACATTTAATGTTGTAAAGGGGAAATCTGAGTTGAGCCTGATTTTCAAACTCTCTGATCCTTAGTTTCCTACCTCACAGAGTTATTCTGAGACTTGAATAAAAAATAGGCCCATTTTTATCAGCTGGACAGTGCCTGGCACACAGCAAGCTTGCATTAATGTTAGCCACCATCTCTCCTCCTCTGTGACAAGCATAGGGCCGACCCCTTGGAAGCCCTTGGAAGAGTGAGTTAATGATTCTCTAAGACATTTCTCTCATCTCTCTGGAAGCTTCTGGGAATTCTGGCCGCACTGAACCACTTCTTTTCTCTCTCCCAGGCCAGAACTGTACGTTCCAACTGCAGGGTCCCAATGGGACAGTCGAGAGCCCAGGGTTCCCGTATGGCTACCCCAATTACGCCAACTGCACGTGGACCATCACCGCGGAGGACCAGCACAGGATCCAGCTCGTGTTCCAGTCCTTTGCCCTGGAAGAGGACTTTGATGTCCTGTCAGTGTTTGATGGCCCACCCCAGCCAGAGAACCTGCGAACAAGGTAACACCCTGCCCATCCTCCCTGTAGCAAACAGCAGAGCCCTGAGCCGAGCTTTCGGAGAGGAAGAACTTGCTCAGGTGAAAGGTTTACAATCATCAGCAAAGACCTCTTAGAATTTTTATGAAATCCCCCTAACTCTTCTGATTTCTTAAAAATTTCCAATTCTTTTTTTCCTGTTTAGAAGTATGTAGTAGGTGGGATTGATGAATGGGACATTTGGGAAGACTAGATGGAAAATGTAAAAGGATTATAGGGAAATTCACGTCTTTATATTGAAACTGATTTTGCATGCATATGTGTGTATGTGTGTATACCTATTGTGTTCATGTATATTGCACACAGAGAAATATTTATGTTCTCCCCTTGGACTCAGCAGACATGTGGGTGATATCAGAGAGTGATGGGCAGTGAGTATGTCTCATCACGCCTTGTATCTGAAAGCCAACCGTATTTTGTTGGCATTTGCCTTGGATTTGCGTGGCCTTGACTGTGGTTGCAGAGTCGGAAGCTTTGAGGAAGTTCTCACTCTGTCAAACCATACTCAAGTTGTTGGAAGAGAAAACTATGGAGGGGATGAGACTGCTTTCCTCTACCTCTGAGCCTGCCTTCAAGTGGTGGAGATCATATGTGAGGAGCGCAGGCTACAGCCCCACTGCAGAAAGGGCAGACTTTTCTGAGGCAATGGCAAGGCCTCACAGGTCATCGCTCTCCAGGTTGTGTTGACTAGGCCTGCTGTGCCCATCAAAAGCCTTGTCTCTGTCTTGCCAGCCAGGCTTTAGGAAGCCAAAGGGTTAATGTCTTACCAGCCAAGCCCTGGGGAGTCCAAAGTGCTAATTGCTTCTACACTAATGAGTGGTTCCCTGCCAAGTACTTAACCTCAAGGCTTTGTTTAAGACTCTGAGCCCTTGACTTCTCAGCTCCTGGAGCAGGGTCACAAACAGCATTTACAGAACTGCCTCCAGCCCTCTTGTCTCCCCTCCCAGCCCCTCAGGGCAGTGCAGAGGTGAGGCCAGGAGGCCTACAGGGGGCACGTCTGGGGCCCCACTGACCAAAAGCTTCTACCGGGCAGGACTGGGCTTATCCATCTCCCCTCGACATTCAGCAAGGTTTAGCACACAGTAGGTGCTGAGTTAAAGTTTGCTGAATGGACTGGAGTCCTCTTCATTCATTCCACCAATATTTCATTAGCCCCTATTATGTCCCAGACACTGGCTTAGGTGCTGGGGATACAGCAATGGACCAAATAAAGTCACTGACTCTAATGGAAGTTACCTGCAAGTGGGGGAGATTGACATGGAAATATATAACATGTATAACATGTCAAGTGTTATGCAGAACAAGTAGAAAGAAGTAGCTGTTTTCTGAGACAGAGACATCTGCAGGAGGAGCATATATTGAGAAAGTGGGGGTAGAAGTTAAGATTTCGGTTTGGCCCTATAAAATTTGAGGTGCCTATTAGATATCCAAGGGTCTCTGGGTGGTGCAAATGTTTAAGAGCTTAACTTCTAGCCAAAAGGTTGGTGGTTCGTGTTCACCCAGAGATGCCTCAGAAAGACAGGCCTGGCAGTCTGCTTCGGATAAGTCACAGCCTTGAAAACCCTATGGAGCAGCTGTACTCTGCACACATGAGTTCACCATTAGTTGGAATTGACTTTGTAACAACTAACAGCAACAATTAGCTATCTAAGTGGAGCTGTTGAATTTGCTCTTGAATATGTGAGTTTAGAGTTCAGGGAAATTGGGGCTAGAGATATGAAATCAGGAGACTGAGAATGAGTAGTGTCTAAAACCATGAGACTGGAGAAGGTCTCAAGGGAGTGATTCTCTCCATCGATTTTGAGCTCAAGCAACACTGTCTCTAATGTCTGTGTGTAAACTTTTGTTGAATGTTGAATGAGTGTTGAAAGATTGAAAGTTGACCAGGCCAGTGGGGTACTTGGTTGAGGTGGGTGGACAGCTGGAAGCAAACTCTCCAACTCTGCTGGCCCACGAGAGACTGGAAGACAACTCTGCTGGCCCACGAGAGACTGGAAGACAAGTTCCTTCCTCTGCCCTTGCTGGCCCTTTTGCTGTCCTCTGGGATTATTTCTGCCTTTCTTGCTCCTAAGGTAGGGTCCACATGTATGTGGTCAGGCCAGTTTTCTGTCATTTGGCTTTTCTGGCTCTTGAGTGAGGGTGAGAGTGTCTTAGTTTCTTAGGGCTATCATAACAAAATACTAGAGTGGGTGGCCTTAAAAGAGTCGAATTTATTGTCTCACAATAAGAACCCAAAGAAGGCTAGACGTCTAAACCGGGGCATGGGCTGCAGGGTAGAGCCCCTTGCTGGTAGCTGTAGGTGTTCCTTGTTCGTTGGCATTCCTTGGTTTGTAGACAGATCTTCACAAGGTCTCTGTCCTCTGTGTCTGTCTCTGTCCATTCTGCTCTTTTTATAAGACACCACTCAGAAGTGATTAGGTTTAGGAACACCCTGCTCTGATATGACTGCATTAACATAATAAAAGAAAACCCCTATTTCCAAACGGGGTCATATTTACAGGTACAGGGGTTAGGACTTCCACATTTCTTTTTGGGGGACATAAGTCAATCCGTAACAGGGGGAATACATAAGACCCACCAGAGGTGGGAACTGCTCTAGCCTTTGTTCTAAGGCCTGGAAGGGTGGAAGCTTCCATGACCTAAGGGGGTGGTCATGGCAGAGAAGGCTTCTTGTTTGTCCTGAGGATGCAGAAGGGCTTGGATGTGACCCTGGCCAAAGCACAGCCCACTCTGGCCAACCAGTCATGTTTGAGGAGGAGGATCTTGGGGTTTGTACCTTCACTAGGTCACCCCAGTCCTTTCTTGGGCTCCTCATCTCTGCCATCTTCATGATTTGCTTACTTGAATTCATTTCAGAAATAGCCAAGGGAATGCGGACTCAGCCAAGGGGAAGGGCTTTAAGCTGGAAAGCTGGAAGGAGCCTTCTGCCTCTTAGCACTGCTGGGGCCAGCAGTGCTCACACCTTAGGGAACACTAGAAGGGCAGATGCATGCAGAGAACAGTCCAAGTAGCACTGGAAACTGCTCTCCTTGAAGGTGTGAAATAATACGCCTTTGGAGGGAGATGGCAAGCATGTGTTGAGTGGGGACCCTTGAGTCTTTGAGAATTTGTTTCACTTTCTTGCATGTTGTTAGTCTATTCAGGTTTAAATCATGTTTCAACGCTTCATGAATCAGTTTCTATAATGTATGATTGTCTAGAAAATCATTCATTTTATTGAGCTCGTCAGTGTATTAGCCTAGAATTGTACATAGTTTTCCATGCAATGTTTCTTTCTCCTCAGTATCTGACATTACATCCCCTTTCTCAGATCGGATACTGTGCATTTTTGGTTTCTTTCTTTTTATTCAATTAGTCTTGCCAAGAGTTTGTTTTCTTGGTCTTTTTAAAGTTTCAACTCTAAGGTTATCAGTTTTGCTTTTTCTCTGTTATCTAACTTACTTATTTCTGCTTTCATCTGTATTCATTCTCTGTTCCCACTTACCTTAGGCTGATGTTGCTCTTTTGCTGACTTCATGGATTGAATTAGTTCCATCATTTCTTGTTTGATAATGAAAGCATCAAGAGGCATTTTCTCCTAAGTACAACTTTGAACATGTCCCATAAATTTTGATGGATAGTTGTTGTTTTAGAAAGAGTCTCTAAGTGCAGTTTTTCTTCCCTCTTTGACTCTAAGGTTTTGCCCTCAATTTTTCAGGAAATATTTATTTACACTTAAAAACTTATTTTCTAGTTTGATTGCATTGTGATCAGATTATAATTTCTATTTTGGAGAACTTGTTAATTTTTTTCCTCCACTATAAGATCATTTTTTTGTAAATATTCTATAACTATTTGAAAAGAACGTATATTTCATGGTTGAAAGGTGAAAACAACTTACGCTTGTTAATATTATTCAACTTTTCTAATTTCTTATTTATTACTTAATTGGTATTGATCAAGGATTAGCAGTGTATTGATCTCACATTTTCACTGTGGTCAATTTCTCCCTGTATTACTAAGTTTTTATTTTATATATTTTGTGGCTGTACTCTTCAGTATGTAAATATTTTTAAGCATTAGATCTTCAGAGTGAATTTTATATTTTCTTAATATAAAAATTATCTTTAACCTTAAATTTTTTTTTTGTTTTAAAGCCTACTGTGGTACTAATATTGTGACCTTTGTTTTCTTTGAAGTTTTATTTATTGGGTCCATCTTTGCCGATTCCTCTATTTTTAATATTTCTATGTCATTTTTTAAGATACATCTGTTAGTACAGCATATATTGATATTTTTTTTTTAACACTAACTGAGAGTCTTCATTCTTAAACAGGCAAGTTCAATCCAATCACATTTTTTTGGTGATAACTGATATGCTTACTCTTCTATAATATTTTATGCATTATAATTTTAAGTGTTCTTATCATTATTTCCTTTTTTCCCCTTTGTCTTCAAGTTTACTTTTCCTGTGATTTTGATTCTAAAACCCGTTGCTGTCGAGTTGATGCTGACTTGTAGTGACCCTATAGGTCAGGGTAGAATTGCTCCATAGGGTTTCTAAGGCTGTAAATCTTTAAGGAAGCAGACTGCCACATCTTTCTCCTGTGGAGCAACTCGTGGTTTTGAACTGCTAACCTTTCAGTTGGCAGCCGAGCACTTAACCACTGAGCCACTAGGGTTAAAGCTACTTTTTCAGAAAACATTTTAACCTACAGTTCTTTGTCAACAGCCTCCCTAGCTAGCTTTTCTCTTAATCTAGTCTTCTGGCACTGTATCTTGTAGAAACTTGGTGTTTGTGACATGTAGGTATCTGTCTCTTTTTCCTAGTTTCCAGAACTGACATAGATAGTCCCTCTTTTTATAGGGGATCATTTTCACGGGAATTTAGGAGCCCAAGCTTCGGGGGACTTTAACACGTTGTCTTGGCTCTCCATGTTGAACAGGAAATTTCTCAAATAAAGGTTTTTATTCTTTTCAGTGCT